ATGTCATCACGATTCGCCCATCGGGAGACAGAATTTTTGTCAAGAAATGGTTGCAATAGTGTAGTAGTCTCGGCAAGTCGACTGGAAGGAACGATTAGGTTGTTCTGAACCCGATAAGCACCCAGAAATGTGGACACACGTCGATAAAGCCTTAATCGCCTCATCAATCCTTGGAGGAACGGGATTCTTAGAGTCATAGTGTTTGAGAGGCTCGGATACTGAATCTTTGAAGAATTCGATGTTCTCCCGGAGCTGACGAATCGCATCGGTATTCGCTCCCACTTTCTATAAGAGTTTGAACATGGTGTCCTCACTAGCGCTTATGGAAGAGCACACCTCTAATTGGCTGACTGCTTCAAGGAAACCACCGATCGCGCTTTTGAGGCCGGGAACAGGGACACTATCCAGACTCGTCTGCGCAATGCGCAGCACGCTCTTAACACCGTTCCAGATGGTACTAGCACCTGCGTCGCCTTTAGCGTCACCCTTGGTGTTTCCCTTGACATCGTCCTCGATGTTCCCTTTGGGGGCTCGTTCATTATCCGCCTTGGGGTTGACTCTGGTGTCGTCCCTAGGGTCGGCCGACGACGACGGCAAGGGTGTGGAGGAAGGCACCGAAGCTTGTTTGGTGTTTCCCTTAATGCTGCCCTTGGTGTTTCCTTTGGGATGTTCCCCGATATCTCCTCTGGTGTTGCTGGACGACGATGGCAAGGGTATTGGAGAAGGCACCCTTGAAACTTGGTGACTTTGCGATGATGCGTCTGTCTTCGGGGATATCTTCATTTTCCCTTTGATTTCTTTAGTGCGCTTCATGTCGGATAGATTGTGATGAGGATCGAGCAAGATTCAACAGTGTCGGTGACTTTGTGCAGTTATGACCACACAGCCCTGAGGCCGACTAATTGGGAAGTCCCTCACGCAATAAGCGCCTGCTCTTGCAACGGGTGTGAACCCAATGTACAGTTACTCGATATGGTCCGACGAACAATGGCTATGATCCCACGGACAGACCGCGGACGAACCGTTCATCACCTGCGAAGCTCTGAGCACTGCAGGTCCGCAGTGGCCCAGTATTGGTCAATTGACTTCACGTGTGATAGGAGGACCGTTCCCTGGTTGGTTTAATATGTCCATCGCTTAGGTCCCCATCGCTGCACAAAAACGTAACATGCGGTTTGCCTTCTTCTTTCCCGGGTCAGCGTGCGAAGCGCAAACTGGCGCGCTCATCAGGAAACCCCCGAGGCTGATTGAGGTGATTGAGATCATTTCAATGTCACGCAATTTACAATCACCACAACCAGGTCCCCTGATTACAATTACACCAATCACACGGGTGATTGAGCTGATTGTACTGATTGTACTAATTGTCACATTTCTCTTCTACATGTTGAAGTTCATCGATAAAATTATTATATTTAAAAATTATGTTATGTACATACAGGCATGCAAGTAACTAATACCAAAACACAATGGTGCAAAACAATAGGAGGAAAGCGAAATGGATGAAAATACAATGTAATTAAACAAAGCAAACGCACGCCTCAACCGCTGGACCATTTGGCACCAAACTCAATGGGAAGATGGGGCTGGATCTCCTCTATCAAACAAGCCTAGGTCCATCGGAAACAGACATGTGGTTGTTGAGTATGCACAGTAAGAAGTTGGGGTTAGTGAAATACAATATAATTAAAGAAAGCAGATGCCCACCTCAACCACTGGATCATTTGGCACCAAACTCGGTGGGAGGATGGAGCCAAACCTCTATATCAAACAAGCGTAAGTTCATCCGAAACAGAGGTGTGGTTGTTGAGTATGAGCTGTAAGAAATTGAGGTTAGTGAAATACAATATATTTAAAGGAAGCAGACGCGCACCTCAATCGCTGGACCGTTTGGTACCAATCTCTGTAGAAAGACAGAGCTAGATCTCATCTATCGAATGAGATTAGAATCGTTGGAAATGGATGCGTGGTTGTTGAGTACATGCAGTAAGAAGTTGGGGATAGTGTCATGTGTGAAAAGTTAGGTTGGGGTTGGATGGAATGACTTGAAAAAAAGAATATGGGAAGGGAGCATGTTGGGGAAGGGTTGGGTGACTGTGGAAGGGTGTTGGCCCATGAGCACAAGTAATGTTATGGAAATGGGAATTTCCCATTTCTAGCCTCTTATGGGCTTTGTACAGTACAAAGTTACGTGATATGTAAATAATAACAACTTAATCATCTACAACCACAAAATTCCACACTCTGTTAATGTCATTGTGTCAGGGCACGCTGCCGCCGCCGCCGCCGCCACCTCCTTTTCCTTTTGTCTCATCCCCTCATTCTCTCTTCTTTCCTTCTTCTCTTTTTCTATCTTTATACAGATGACCTCTCTTTCATTCCTACCCTTGTAGCACGGATGTGTCCAACGCTGAGCACCCCATAGGGGCACCGCAACGCTGGATGTGCCACGCACTTCTACTTGTACTTCCCCTCCAACACTCGGGATCGACCGCGGAACCACCTGCGGTAACCCGGCTTCGTCCGAGGGTGACGTGGCAACCCCATGTGACCCATTCACACATGTATATAAACTAAGCCGAAGCAGGACTGAAGAAGTAACCTTCTTCTCATTTCCCGCTTCAGGCAAGTACCCTAGTTTAGTCTGGCTTCCCACCCTAATAACAATACATTTCCCGCTTCAGCCTAAGAAGCCACACAGGGACGTAAGCCCAAGTAAGGGCTATCCACTATACGGTCTCACCGCCCCGCTGCCGTCCGGGCCACTAGCGCCGAGCGTTACGCCGCTACCTCTGCCTTCCTCGAGCCGTCCCTGACACATTGTAAAGACAACTGTTAAACAACTGTTACATTAACTGTAACACTATTTCGATGTCACGGCCACTCCCTGCACCCGGATGCTATAGAAATGGGCCAATTAGGCCCCATTTTTATAACAAGTAAGGAACATCGGAGTGGAGTAAAAAATATCGTGTTGCATAGTAAAGAGACATGGGTGTAGATAGCATGAGGTGGAGTGAAAAAAAAAGTTACAAGTCACAAACCAATTCATTTGAAAACTGTACAGCACCTGGAGCAAACAAATGGACTTGTGATTGTGATGATTGAGACAATTGAGAGTAGTCGATTGGGCAGATTGGGCAGATTAAGCACTTGAATTGCTCTCAATCACCTCAATCGGCCTCGGGGGTTTCCTGATGCTTGTAGTCACCCTTACATCCACAGCGAACCCAAGATGAAAATTCCCCGATGTAAAGGGCATCTGTCAGAGACCGGGTCGAGATGAAGGAGTGTCTCTGTGATGGAGGGCTTCGGCCTCAGCGACTTATGCCAGGAGCGCTGTGCCTAGTAAACACATCCGTGCCCTAACTTACTAACTGGCCACCAGAACTGAAGAGGGTAAACTCTAGTCGATTTTATTACTGGAGTGTAACCTATGTACAAGTGTAGTATATATAGTTACAACGAGGGCGGGTCCGCAAATGGCGGAGCCGAGCTAACAGGGTTTAGACATTAGCCGATTGAATATTACCGACAAGTCGGGTTACAGGGTTAGCGGAAAGGCAGGCAATAACCCAGAAATGGAAAGGAGGGATAGGCCCGAAGGTGAGCTTGCAGGGCAAGCAAGTGTATTGCCCAGCGGAGGCGGGAGTGCACTAGCGGACATCGGAGCTGTCCGGAAGCCTTCGGGGCTCCGTACTTAGGGAGGCGTAGGTAATAAATTGAAAGGAGGGGGTGGTGACCATCGAGGGGTACCGAGGGGATTGCGGAATACGGGAGCTCCGAGGTTAGTGAAGAAGGAGCGGAAGTGGAACGGAGGGATCGGAAGTCGATGGCCAGGGATGGATATGACAGCATCCATCGATAAGAACTAGTATGAATCACTCCAATGACTTGGACCTTCTAAAACTAGGCAAGTTAAACACCCCCTTCGTTCTGAAGTTAAGGACCAGACATTAAGTGTTACTGAATGTAGGCACAGCACTCCCCTCTGAGTCGCTGAGGCCACAGTCCCTCCGCCCATCCTCTATCTCTGGCCTCCCTTCCAGGAAAGGTCCAGGCATGCTGCTCCCTCCTTACCATGTCCTGACAATCCCCTGGTGACCCTGCTCTCATCATCTTAATTAGTCATCTTCCACTTATAGCATGGCTGACGTCTTCTTTCCATTCAGTCAGCTAACTTTCCCTTACCCATTTCTTGTTCCCATTTATTCTCTGGCCTTCTACTCCACCCTCCTCGACCCAACACCTCAGTCCCCCATTAAAGATATCATTCAGAACCTTTCGGTACTTTTCAGTATCTTTCAGTATCACTCAGACTTTGACTAAAGTTCTCCTCCTCCACCTTTGATATATATATACCCATAGGTTGTACCTTAGTTCTAATCTCGACTAAAACTTACCCCCAAGTCCCCCTATGAGTGATTTGTGTCCCCCTCCTACAAGATACCTCAGACATCTGAAATTGAGGACTAACTGAGATGTAATAGAGGCACAGCGCTCCCCTCCAAGTCACTGAGGCCGCCCTTCTTAGAGCCTCTTGTATCAGCCTGCAGACCCAGGCTTCCTGGAGAAGCTTCGGTTCACTACTGGAGCTCTCAGAACCCCCCTCTGGTTGAGTCCTGTCTGCACCAGGATCATTGTGTTTTGACAGATGGAGTTGCAGGCTCAAGTGAACCTGTGGGCAGTGTTGACATCTGCTGGGGCTTGGTTGCACTGGGAGTGAGTTGGATAAACTGGTAATTCAAACTGGTAAACAAATAGAGGTAAACAGTTGTTTCCATATTTGGAATAAGGAAAAATGATAGACATTGAATTTAGCGAAAATACAGGCTTTTTTTGAGCACAAATCACTGACTTTAGGAGGCAGTAACATGGGAGTATCGCTGATTCTCCATCACTTGCTCTGCCCTGCAGCTGCCAGATTGGCAAGCAAGCTGGCTTCTGTGTAAGTATGGGTGTTATGAGCATAGAGTGGAAGTTGTCAATGTTGAAGTTTTTTAGTTGCAAATGAGAACAATAACTTCAACTTTGTTGGGCCCCAAATCTGTATGCACCTTCACAAACGATGAAAGTGCTGACTCACTTCCTGCCCATGTGGCAACCCCCTGAGTGTCAGGTACTCTACTCAATGAAGATGATGTCAACCATTCCAGGTTTGCTTGAGTTAATGGGAGATGACGTTGGGTTGACACTCTAGGTTCTGGATCAGCATAGGCACTGGCCTGGTCTGATAATGTGACACTTTGAAGCCACAAAGTGGAGCTAGGAGTGGCAGTGGGCCTAGCCGAGTTGGTCTGAATGCTGGGTGCAATTCGGGTTGTGGCCACAGTGTCAAATTCTGTCAAGTAAGATGAAGTGGCAGACCGAGTGAATGGTGGAATGATTTTGGGGGGATTCATTGGCATGCCTCCCAGAGAACTGCTAGTGGTAAGGTTGAACTCATTGATGAACAAAGCCAGCTCTGTGGAGACTGCTTCTTGATCATCGATACTTGATGAACTGGAGACTGTAAGTCTCCTGTCTTCAACCTGAGACACTGCTAAAGGGTCAGGCATCTTCCAAGAAGGGAGTGGGGCCCTTGAAGTGTTCTGTCAGACTGGTGATTCCACCCAACATGACTGTGACTGTGCACACCTCCCCATCCTTAGCAAAGCTACTGCAGTGTCCGCACAGAGAGCTGTGGGCCCCATGACTGCCTGTTGAACCCCCAGTTGAGTGGAAGGGCAAGAAGCGGGAGTGTGGTAAGGAGGTTCAGTTGATGCCCTGATGTTTTTGTTCCTGCCCTGATATCTGGTGTAGGATCTTGCTGCGCAGTGCTTCCCACCCTTTGTTTTCTTCAACACTTTGTGAGGCCAGTATCATCACAGGCAATGTTTGGCCACCATCAACCAACATGATGCCTGGCTGTCCCAAGTGGTCCAAAATATTTGCCTGTTTCCATGATGCAAGAATTTCTTTAGTTATACCAGTTATCACTGCTGCATCACTCACAGACATGTGAACCTCCTCAAGCTGGGCAGCAAGTTGGCGCTGATCTCTGTGGTAAATACATGGGTCAACACATTTTTTTCAATTGTCTCTAGGCTCATTTGGCCCCAAATGGGCATCCAGTCTATGGAACGTGAGTTTCTGCAGAATTTTTACATTTGTTTACATACTTACCACTGGCTTGACAAGCAAGGCTGAAGTCCTGGATGAGCTTATCACTAACTAACTGAAGAACTCCCTTCACCTCTTTCTCAGTGAGCCCATATCTCATTTGAGTGCCCCAAACGAAACTGTTAAACACACATTGGGCTTCAGGATGCAAGGTGGAATCTAGAATCATGGTGAGTTCTTATCATCTGCCCATTTTCTCTTCATTTACCCTCAGTTTCGGTTTGGACATGGTGCTTTGGTGTTGGGTGTCAAGTGGCATGACAGTGTGTGGTTTGAACATTCCCTGATTGCATCGCCACACAGTTATCATGCTTTGTTTTCACAGTACCAGTGCTGCTCTACACACTCTGATCCAGCTCAGCCCCTGAGCCTCGAGTTGCTGCTTTTTGTGAGTGCCAACTCAGTCTGGAATAACATTAACTACACTTATTTTTCCAGGCATTGCTAAAATCTTTCATTCTGATGGGATGGACAAAAAAAATGGTGGAACGTTGTTGTAACTAACTTGATGGGTACAGGGAGGTTAGAACAAAATGGACTAGTTGCTCAGAAGAGGGCACAACTCGATATGGTAGAGACTCAGGCAAGAATCCTTGAAGGTATGTGGGAGCTAGTGGCATGTTGGACTCACTGACAAACATGGAGCTTGACAACTAGGCACATCAGTTGAAGTTAGAGTGGACCTTGAGGAGCTCCAGGACACTGGTTTTGCACCTGAGCCTAATGATCAAGGTGACTGGGTGGATGAACCTGCAATGGCAGATGCTGGGCTGTTTCAAGATGAAGGGCTTTTGAGCGAACAACTCCTGATGGTGATGTCTTCTCTACTCCCTAAGCAGTAACTGCATGCAGCTTGGGGAGAGCAGCTGGGCGACCTTGTTACTCTATACCTTGAGTTCAAAGCCACCAATCCTTCCTCCACACCATCCCACTATCCCCAACCCCAAGAAGATGTCAACTATGTCTGCATCAAGTGCCTTGACATATTTGGTACCCTGCTCTTTTACCTTGTCATATCTGAATAATGTTGTTAATAACATATTCTGTCAGAGACCAGATCTGGGACGAAGACGACGTCCCTGTGGCAGAGGGCTTTGGCCTCAGCGACTAAACCAGGAGTGCTGTGCCTAGTAACATGTCTGTGCCCTAATTTACTGACTGGCAAGGAAACTAGAAGAGGGGGAAACTCTAGTTGATTTTATCACTAAGGGGTAACCTATCTACAAGTTATGTATATATAGTTACATAGGAAGCAGGCCCGTAAATGGCAGGGCCAAACGGAGCGGAACTAACAGAGTTACAGGTTAGCTAACTAAATATTACCAACGAGTCGGGTTATGAGGTTAGTGGGGTGATGGGCTATAACCCAGAAATGGAAAGGAGGGATCAGCCCAAAGGTAGACCTGCAGGGAAGGCAACTGAGTGCCTGGCGGAAGCAGGGGTGTGCTTGTGGACATCGGAGCTGTCCAGAAACCTTTGGGGTTCCATACTTAGGGAGGCGTAAGTAATATATTGAAATGAGGGGGTGGGTCTCTTTAGTTACTGGGCAGTCCTTTGCCAAGTGACCTGATTGTTTACAGTTAAAGCATAGGCCCTTGGCCCTTAGCTCATCACTTTCTTCTTTCAATAGTTTTGTTTTTGAGGATCTGCTCCTGCACCCTCCAGACCTTTTGTCACTGTCTTTTCTTTTTTGTCTCCACCCTGCCTAGTGGGCTTGTTATCTTTTTTGGATTTCTTGTTTTCTTTCTCAGGTGGGTGCTTGTCCTTCCCATGTTCACCTTGTCGGTTCTGGTTTCTTTTGTGATTCTCTTCATATCTGACCATTTTCTTGGCTCTTTCAGGCATTCATGGTGATCGCTCTTACATCATCTATGTTCCTGGTGTCAGGACTAAATCCGTAATCTAATAATTTGATGCGATAGTATTGATCCAGTCCATTGAACACCTGTTGCACAAACTGCCTATCTGTGATGTTGCATATTCTGTTTCTGATGCGGTCCATTTCCCTGACATATTCCTGAACTGAGGAATCATGTTGCATCCAACATTTGAAATGATCTTGTTGAATTTGTCGGAATTCTGGTGGGAAACATTCATCAAACAGTGCCTTGACAGCTGATTTGAGAGTCCAATCTCGCAGAGTCAGAGCGATAGTTGATACAAACCATGTTGTGGCCTTGCCACTCAACATGTGTTGGAGGTGTTTGACCTCATCTCATCTGTGTACTTTGTTTAGTTCAAAATAAGTTCTTACTCCTGCCAGTCAAACTTTGAACTTATTGTAGTTGGCTTCACTGTTATATGGGTCTGGTCCTTTGACCTTGACATGCAAACTTTGATGTTTATCCTTCTTCAGTAGGGCTAGGAGGAGGCTGGACTCATTCCTTAGGTTTAGTCACCCTTAGCCACCTCCATCCCGGAAGCTCGGTCCTGAGTCAGAACCTTCAGAACCCCCAGATTGCTCCGACCTCCTGACAGACCTCTGACATCTTGTTATATACTCCTAAACCCTTCCTCTCTCCATTTCATTTAGTGGAGTTGCCCAACATTCCTCAGATATGTAACTCTGGCTTCGGAGCTACCTGTATCCCTGTCATATCCATACCAACTCTGCCTAACCTCTGATCTACTCTGCCACCATTCTGGTCCACCTCCGGTCTGTCCTCCCTCGTAACCTCTGCCATACCCTCCAGTACACCTCCAGTCCACCTCCGCCTCCGATCTCTGGTACCATCTCCAGTACCCCTTATCCTAATCATAGAAGGTTATTAATATTCCTACCTACCCAACATTAATACAGACCTCCTAGGACCTCCACCAACCCTGCAAAGGTTTTCCCACTTTCCGATAGCTGTCGCTAATTCCACCCTTCACCTACCCACTCCACAATGCTTGATAAGGCGATTCTCTCACAAGCTTGCTGACCTGGCAAGTGGGTAAGTCCATCTTGGGTTTCCCCTTTGTTTCCTATTTGTCTTCTATTATGTATATAAGTCATGTACTGTAGTTGTTGGCACCTCAGTGCAAAATCGACAATAACGACTATTCCCCCAGAGTTCGCGAATGTGCTGAAGTCCAGGCCAGAGCTGAGACAGTAGGGATGGAGGTGACGTTGGGAAGTAGGGAGGAATGGTGTAGGGGATGGAAAAGTTGTTAGGAAGGTGTAGTGAGGTGGGAGAGTGTGGGGTCAGGATTCCAGGATATGACACCATCAAAGAATCAGAGGAAAGAATTAGTGTGGGCATCGTTCAACAAATGAATTCTCAAGCTTAGGAAGAATTTTGATACCCAAGTCAGTGTCATTGCATGGGAAGTTGCTGGCCACAGTTCACACTATTCAGCAAACCAGATAAAAAACCAAGTTATGTTCAAGTTGGCATCACCAAAAAAAAAAAAACACGAAAGCCAATGCTCCCTAATGCATGGGCACATGCAAAGGCTCAGGCATGTTGTAAACAAGGTATGTAGTTTCAGTATTTGATAGAAGTCATACAGAGATAAACTAACCTGCTGTGCACAACAGAAAAAGCGCTCCCAAACCTCCTGTACTCAAAAGAGATTACCTCAAACTTCAACTTCTTGATGACATCAACAATGAAGAGATCACATTTGATGATGTTAAAAATCCCTTGACCCCAACAGACAAACATTATGTATGAGTGATCTTGGAAGGTGTCACCATCAAAAGGGAGAACCGGACTCTGAAAGAAAATATTATCTCACCCAAACTGTCTGCACACCACCTTGCACTGCATGCCTGAGACCAGCTCTTCCAGATCATAGGTTTCAAGGATGAGAAGTTAGTGACCAAAGAATGACAGAATGCAGGCAGAGACCATGACCCTGTCATGTGGCATCCAAGTCATGGTCATGATGACAAAAGGGTCCGACAGTGATTTGTTCACTCCAGCTGTGTGGGCATCAGAGAAAGCGAAGGAGCACTGGTTGGGCATAGCAGCCCAGGATTTGTGGAAACATGCCCGGTTTATGGAAGCATATTGTGTTGGGACACTGGTGTCATATCCCGGAATCCCGACCCCGTGCACTCCCACCACATCACACCTTCCTAACAACTTCACCATCCCCTACACCACGCCTCCCCACTCCTCAAGTCACCTTCCCTCCTGACTGTCTCAGCTCCGGTCTGGTTGCGGCACACCGAACCTTGGCCACTCCCATCCCGGAAGCTCGGTCCTGAGTTGGAACATTTGGAGACTCCGGATTTGTGTCAGAGACCAGGTCGAGACGAAGGAGTGTCTCCATGACGGAGGGCTTCAGCCTCAGCAACTTATGCCAGGAGTGCTGTGCCTAGTAAACACGTCCGTGCCCTAACTTACTAACTGGCCACCAGAACTGGAGAGGGTAATAAACTCTAGTCAATTTTATTACTGGAGTGTTGTCAGGGACGCGTCCGGGGTAGAGGGGGCCCGGGTGAGATGCCTGACACTGGAAGTCTCGTGGGGTGTGGAGCGGGCGTGCGTACTGGTGGGCCCGGCTCAGGAGGCAGTCCCTGGCCACTTAGACTGAAGTGTTATTATTATTAAAAGGGAATACTATGTTGCTTACCTGAAGTGGGAAAGGATGAGAAGAAGGCTACTTCTTCGGTTCCCACTTCAGGTATGTTTATATACATGCGGCTTAGGTCACATGACGGGTGCCACGTCATCCTCGCATACAGCCGTAGTCACCCGGGTGTCCCCATGGGGGATCCCGAGGGCGTCTGCTGTGAACGCGCGAGCTGGAGATAGCGGGGGTCACCCGAGGTGCCCAGGCTGGGCGTGTCGTGAGCGCGCTGCGGGTGGGTCAATGGTACATTGATACAAGGAAAGGTCGTCCGTGTAGAATAAAGAGAAAATAAAGAGAAGGTAAAATAAGTAACAAGGGAGTGGAATGGAGAAAGAAGGAAAGAAAGAAGAGGGGGGAGGAGGTAGGGGAAGGCTGGGTGGCGGGGTACCGGGTGAAGTGGGGCCGGATGGGGCCGGGTCAGGCAGGTGTGCCCTGACAAGTGTAACCTATGTACAAGTTAAGTATATATAGTTACAGCGAGGGTGGGTCCGCAAATGGTGGAGCCGAGCGGAGCGGAGCTAACAGGGTTTAGACATTAGCCGATTGAATATTACTGACGAGTCGGGTTACAGGGTTAGCGGAAAGGCAGGCGATAACCCAGAAACGAAAAAGAGGGATAGGCCCGAAGGTGGGCTTTGCAGGGCAAGCGAGTGTATTGTCCAGCGGAGGTGGGGGTGCACTAGCGGACGTCGGAGCTGTCCGGAAGCCTTCGGGGCTCCGTACTTAGGGAGGCATAGGTAATAAATTGAAAGGAGGGGGTGGTGACCATCGAGGGGTACCGAGGGGATTGCGGAATGTGGGAGCTCCAAGGTTAGTGAGGAAGGAGCGGAGGTAGACCGGAGGGGTCGGAGGGGTCGGAAGTCGATGGCCAGGGATGGATATGACAGTATCCCGTTCTTAGGCCTGAACCCTTGAAGGCCCAGAATTAGTAAGGTGAGGGGAGCTGTACTTACAGAAAAGAAAAAAAGAAAAATGGAAATGAGGAGTGGAGAGAAAGGAGAGATGAGAAGAGATTGTGGTGTCGGAAGAGAGGGAGGCTAGAATGTCTCGATGAAGAGCCTCTGTGTCGACGAGTACAGCTGCTCGGATTACTGTGGCAGCTAGGAATGTAGCTCGTAAGGACGCAGTGAGCTGCTCCGAAGTGAAGACTGGTCGGAAGTTCTGCAGATTGACACGAGTGTAGTCCATATCCCCTTCTTTGGGATAGATGTCCCAGCGTCTAGTCAATGCATCCGGTTTTACTCCGAGTCTTCTGGGATGGAATCGGACAGTCATG